ACTGGACTCACCCCCACACGGCACTGTCCATCCTGTGCCAGGGAGCCCAAGCCTGGAGACGGCCATCAGGTGCAAAGCAGCCCCCTTCCCTGGACGTGCTGGCTGCTGGCCAGCTCATGCAGCCCCAAGCACAGGCGCTGCTTTGCTGCCTGGGTGCAGGGGTTGCTGCCCTGTGCATGGCTGAGCTCTGGCCCTCCAGGGCCCCTGAGGGTTTTTGCAGAGCTGCTCCTGGACAGTTGGCCCCTGCTTGTCCCTGCACAGGGAGGTTATCTGTCCCAGGGGCCAGGCGTTGAGTTGACCTTTTGTCAAACCAACTCCATTCGGTTCCCATCAGTGCATTTCTCCAGCCTGCTCAAGTCCCTCTGAATAGCAGCCCTGCCTTCCAGTGCATTTACTGCTTACCCTAGTTTGGTGTCATCTGCAGACTTTCCAAGAGGCCTCTCCATCCCATTATCGAGGTTGTTAATGAAGGCATTAAACAGTACCGTACCCAGAGCCAATCCCTGAAGTACACCACTAGTTACTGGCCATTAGCTGGACCTCATATGGCAATCACAACCCTCTGAACACAGCTAGCTTTCCACCTATCCACATATCCACTCCATATCTCACTAATTTGGCGGAAATGAGACTACAGAAGAGCATGCCAAAGCCAAGTCAAGGTATGCAGCCACTGCCCTCCAGCTGTCCACACAGCCAGGGAAAGGCACCATAGGAAGCAATCAAGTTCATTGGTCAGGATTTGCCCTTGGTAGGTCTGTGCTGGCTGTTCTCAGTTACCTTCTTGTCCCTCCAGTGGCTGAAAGTGGCTTCCAAGAGGATTAGCTCCATCAGCTTTCCAAGGCTCACCTGTGGTTCACCGGATCCTCCTTCTTGCCTTCTTGAAGACAGGTAGGACATTTGCCTTTCTCTCATCATCAAGAACCAAAGTTATTGAAGATGGTTTCAAGTAGCCTCACAATGGCATTGGCCAGCTCCCTCAGATACATCCTATCTGGTCCTGTGGACTAGTGTGTGTCTAACTGCCTTAGTGTTTCACTTCCACAGACTGTGTTAGCAGGCCCAGGGACCTGGGTGGCCTGAGGCAAATCTTATCAGTGAAAACTGAGCCTAATCCTCTATCTGCAGTCGTCCAGGATGGAATAGGTCATTTAAAATGGTTACTTTGGCCAATTAATTGTTAAACACGCTCCTGTAATGTGACTGTTTGGTAGCTTATACCACAGCCAAGTCTATGGAATGAAATATATAATTGAATATGGTTAAGAAAGGAGTCAGTGTACAGGAGTGTCATTTTTCCTTTTGGAGATTACCCACACTAAAGATGTCCCAGGAATGTGACTGAGGTATGGCCTCCTGGAGTCACTTGACACTGTGGTAGCGTCACTGTCAGACTTGCCATTCTTCTTCACCTAGTAAGTTCCTGTGAGATAAGTTATGGGCTTGATTAAGTAAGTTGTTTTTTTTTTTGTCTGTAGGAAAGCATCTTATTTAGTCTAGAAAAGATAAATGCATTATGCAGTGATCCTTATCTGTTGAGATGTCTTCTCTTTTAGAGTATCAAAGTCTGCTAGAGTTGTGGATGCACAATCTTATGTCTTGGCACATGCTGTTCTTAAATATTTCTGCTGAGTATCAAATGAGCCCCAGAAGCATGTATGCCTACATATATTTTAGTGGTCGGACAAATCAATAAAACAGGCAAGTGAGTCACACCTAAGTAATAGGCTGTCCTCTAAATCACCTAAAGGTCATCTCAAGGTTAATGCTGAAGATTCCTGTGGTTTCCTTTTTTCTTTTTTATTATCTAGTTAAGAGATTTTTAAAACTCTGTTTTATTTTTAGAATAAGATGTTCTATGCACATGATTGATGGTTTGCCATTCCAGTCAACAAAACAGAGAAAGGATTTCTTTTCTTCTTGAGAATGCTTTACACATTCCTACAATTCCTTCATTCCTACAATTTTTTCCTGTTAACCACAGTGTTTTATTTGGCAATAGAGAAATATGAAAAGAATGCTTATAAAGCCATTGCTTATCGATCAAGAAGTCAATGGATCTGATTAAAGCTATTTAAAAGGTAACCTAAATTCTAGACTACCCAATATATATTACCAAACTGTTGTGTAAGGTGAACAAAACTGATCATATACTGCCAGAAAAGTTTACAGTAATATCAGTAACCTAGGGGGATCAGTTTAAAAGGTATAAATGTCAAATATTTATTGTAAAACTATTGATAATGCAATCCTCATCTGGAAAGGAGTTTCTTTTTTGTTGTTGTTGTCATAAGATTTGCTCTGAGAGGAAACTCCGCATCTGGATTCTACCCAGGTTTGGGTATATTTCTGTTCCCATGTCACAGAAGACCTAATTAACAACCTAGTTTGTTTATCCTTACAACAACCTAGTTTGTTTATCCTTAGACTATCCTTGCAAAACAAGGATATGGCATGATCTCTGCCTTTTGGATATGAAAAATAAGAAGCAGAAAAATAAAGTGCTGAAGCTTGCAAGGATATCTGAAGCAAAGTCAAGAACTGAGCCCTACTCTGTAACTTGCAGTACCGCGCTTTAACTGTTGCCTTCCTGCTTAGACCAACAGGAAGTAAGCGTTCCATGCCTAGCAGAAAGTTTGATGCATTTGTGTTTTATAACTCCATCTGGTATGCATTATCTCATTATAAACTTTGCTCACAGACCTGAGAGGCACAATTCCCTAGTAGACTCAAAGCATATTCAGTAATCAAAAACCCTTGAATTCACTCTGCCCTAACTCTCTGCTTGGCCTTTATCGAACAGTTATACACTCTATCATTTAAATTACCAAGGTTAAATCCCACTTAACTGCTACATTATAAGCTTAAGTATAGAAAACATTTCCTTATCATCCAACATCCCTAGGCAGTATAGGTGTCACCACTAAGGTATCTCACAGGTCAAACCTACAAATGAGTTTCTCTATCTAAAGAGGGAGCAGGCAAATTCAGTATTCAAGTCCAAGTGTGTTTAATGGTTGCCCAGAGGCCTCATTATATGACACATGAAATCAAAGATAAACTCCCTTTGATATGAGTGGGAGTGGGATATGGCACCACAGATGAAGCCGCCTAAATCATTACAACATAAACTGGACTGTCTTCCTTCTTGTACTCGGCTGTTTACTGGGTTCTAGACTATGCATTTATTGCAAAATAAAAACTGTAATGGGAGCCATAGCTCATAGACAGCTTGCTTCATAGCTATAGTCAATGCTAGAAATTAACATGTTTCTATGCATAGAAGAAAGAATCCATCTTGACTCAGCCTTCTCCTGACTCAGGTTTACAGAAATTGCCGCTAAAAACACTTTTCTTCTCATTAGCTGAGCTCATTTTGTAAAAAAATTGTTAAAACAGTAAATAACAAGCTCCGTAATAGATCCTATTCTGAGCAGAAAGTGTGGAAAGAATTTCAGCCTCTGAGTAAAAATGTTAAAGATAATGAATTACTGCGTACCTCATAATTTGAATTCTTTACTGCACTGTATAAAGAATTATTAAACATCATTGTCCCCTGCATGATAACAGAGTAAGTGTTAATGAAACATCAACAGAATCTTCATAGTAGAGAAGGAACATGTTTGTCCACGGGTGCATAGGAGTTCAGAACACCCAAGACATTCCTGATTTTTCATAGGAGGCATACAAAGACTTGTTGATTACATCTTGACATGGGACAAAAACTGTACTAAGTTTCATTTTAGTTTTCTAGTTGTTCATAAAACAGAAGACATTTTCATGAATCAAAGCTAGGGGGTGGGAGGAGATGAGAGAAGCTGGAGGACGCTTCAAACCAAAGCTACTGAACACTGTATTATAAGGAGATAAAGAAACATGTTATTTCATGTTATGATTTTATTTCCCTTGCTATATGAGACCAACTGATATCTTAAATCCTGATTATACTCTATCGTAGCGGGGTACAATACAACTGCTGACATCACCCTGCAATAAAAATATAATGCCACTTAGAACACTTGTTTGCTACACTTAGAGTCGTTGCTGTGTTGAAAAACAGGTTTGCTCTTTTACAGCTTTGAGTTTAACTAGTGACTGAAATATTAAAGAAAGGTTTTGCATACAGGAAAGAAAAGAAAGGAAATTTATTTAAAATAAAATATGTAATACATACTACTAAAGATCATTAACTAAGATCTAGACAAAATTCTTTCACAGCTTTGCTACCGTGCTCAATTTTTTAACGAGATTCTAATTCTCAATTCTGAGCCACCTCCTGTACTTTAAGAAAGCCAATTCTGTCTTTCTTAAAGTACAGGATAATCTTGTTACTATATATTAATCTTCATACTTAAAAATGATATTATCTTCTTAGGAATTTCTGTAGCAGGCTTGGCTACGGAAATCTCCTATTACTTAACTCTTCATATTTTACTCCTTTACAACACAAGAATGTCATGAAGTATTATGAGAAAATCTTTCATGTATTTTGTCACAGTGCTGACTATTTTTCTGAAGGTAATAACTACACCGCAGAATACAGTTTAAGACTGAGACCCAGCGAGCTCTCACCCAGGCAACAGTCACTGAGTGGTCAGAGAGGAGCATGAACTATTGCCTTCCCTCTCATACCTCATTATGCTATTAGCTCCTTGTGTTCAGAGCAGCAAGGTCCCCCAGGTGTCCGTATGTACATCTGTTGTGAACATAACCCCTTCAGTTTTTAACTCCACCTCCCTCTGTCACTTTCCCTAATCCTTAACTTCCTAATACAGCTCCACAGTTCCTCCTCGACCACGGGCAAGGTTTGTTCTTTTAGTTCTCCCTCTGCATACAGATCTGAGCTTTATTATTTTATTCTGCTTGACTCTGGGAGAAATACGGTGAAAAGCAGATCAGACATTGATGTGACAGTATTTCTGATGTACAGACTTCTCCATACAGCACCAAACTGCAGGCTTTTTTCTGTAATACAGAGATGTACACCAACACACGTTCAGCCAATCAGAGCAGAGAGAGATTCGGTTTTTATTACTGAGAAATACGTAGTAATTTCCCCTCTGAGATTAAGCGAGTGCGTAATTGAGGAAAAAGTACAATCACTGCCCCAGAGACATGCACTGCTGCCCTACTTTCTTACCAGCTGTGGCCTGCCAGATTCAGTGGTATTGAAGCTAAGCTGCATCCACCCCAGTAAAAGCAGACGGTAATGCTGCTCTCATTGACCCACCTTTGGGAAAGCTGGTAACTGATACAGCAAGTCTCAGAGCCCCTGTGCTGCGCAGGAGGAGAATAGCCAAACACAATGAAGCAACATCAGGTGCACCACTGTACTGGCATACTTCTGTCCCTAGAGGCTTCAAGAGAGCCAGGATCTTGCCTCCTCTCTTCCCCTCTTGCAGCCTTACATGAGACCTCATGGCATCCGCAACTTCTGTTCTCTAGAAGCAACAGGTCATTTCTTTTCTGCAAGAAGACAGGAAAGGGGCTTTATATGGTTTAGCTGCAGCTGTTGTATTCCTTGTTGACGGTAACAACATGTCGCTGTATTGCTTGCTATTTCATAGACAATAGTTCAGCAAATACTTAAATACTTACCATCATTTACTGTTAGAAATGGTCTCCTAGAAAGTCCATGGCAGTAAATAGACAATTCAGTGTCAGTGGGCTGGACGACAGTTACCGGATTATTTCATTCATTTGGATATTAGCAGGGCTCACCCCTGCTTTTTGGCTGTTGTCCAACAGCCAATTTTTTGATTGCCAGATCTATTAGAAATCATTTACCGATTTGCCTTTGACTTCTGCCCTCCTTGCATCAAGATGTCACACTTGTACATTATCCTCAGTTGTTCGTAAGTCACAATACAAATCAAAATAGTTCCAAGCTGGCTGGCACCAAGAGCTAAACCACTGCCTTCAGACACTGCCTTTTTTCAGCTGGCCATTGCATCTTGGTACCAATTGGTTTGCGTCAAGCTATTTCTAATTGAGACTTTGACATTAGATGTTGAAGGCATGACTCCTATCCTGAAGACTTCCCTTATTCCAAGGCATTGATGAATCACTGGGGAAGCCTGAGTTAACCGCCACCACAAGCTCCATGAAGGGAAGCTCATCTCCGGTTTTGAAACAAAGCACAATTGTAAGCCTCGGTCTAAAAAAAATGAGTCAAGGACATTTGCTAGGGTTGAAGGATCCTAGTTTTTTTGTCATCCCTGTAGAAAACTGATGTTTTCTTTCTTGACGAAGCTTTAGCACATTCCGACCTGGTGTATAATCCCAAGAGTTGTTTAGCTGATTTCACCCAAAATCTCTCAGCCTGCCCCAGCCAGAAGACAATAATGATGGTAGGCAGATACTAGGTGTGTTTGGAAATGGAGAGCAGGAAAAACAAGGTCTTGCAGTCCATACCAAAATTATGTGGGAAATATGCCTGTTTCTCATGGAAGTCTAGTGCATCTAAACTACTTTTCTAGCAGGAAAAACTTCAAGTCTTTATAGCTTAAAACAGATTTCTATTAGCAGTGTCTAAATTATTCTATTTTACAGCCTTATTGCAGTCAGCAAGGCAGTCGTTTATCTTGTTCAGACACAAAAAGGGCAGAATCCCCAATATCTTGTTGCTAGGACATGTCCAAGAGTATTTTAGGAAATTCTGAAAGGGTGCATGCAGTCTATGCGTGGGTGAGAGACTGACAGTTCTCATTAGGTTGTGGGATACAGCCAAGAACATGTGAGGCCTGAATAAATTTGGAGCAATCAGATTAATCCCAAAAAGGAAGATATGACAGGTTGCAACAGCTCATCTCCTACTCATATTATTCTTCTTTTTATTTTAGGGGAACATACACATTTGTAATCCAAATGTTGTAAATAAACTGCCAGCTCCAATATTCCAAAGAACGGTATGATTTAGGGGGCAAATCATTTCCCATTCCCTACGTTCTTCTCTTTTTCTGTTTTGTGAAAAGGAGAAGACAGCAATTTTTATTTATCAGCTTCTGAGAAGTTTCCACCCAGACTGCATGCACGTCTGTATAAGTAATGGTATATATGTGGTCTATGAGAAGGGATCATTGATTTTTTTTGGCTGTGCATGTGACTTGACTGATCCTCGAAATATCCATTTTACCCACTTGTTAAGTCATTGGTCTCTGGAATCAGCTCCAGGCATAATTCTGCTGTTTCTAGTGAATGATTAAATACGGTAGTATAAGTTTAAGAATAATTCAGCAAGCTTAAAAACAGTTACTTTCACTAAAGCTTTTTTTTCAATATTTAAATAGATAGAAGACATACAGGCATTTTCTTCCTGTTTGAAATAGACACTGGCCCTTGAGAGAAAGAGAAAATTTGAGACTGGATCTTTGTGAGGGATTAAGGCACCAGTTAAGGTCAGTCTGCTTAGCCAAGAGCTCTGCTTTCCATAGGATAGGCCTGAACAAGCTGCTCTCATAGCTTTTTCTATTTCAGGTTTGTTCTCTGCTGTCACTCGTCACCAGCAGTAGAAAGAAAAACAGGAAAACATCCCCAGTGGTGTCCTTAGCAGCGTGTGCGCAATGCACTTTGCAGTCCGGGCTCAGCTGGTCAGTAGCAAAGGAAGAGGCTGGTCTGAGCCTGCACCTGTAACACTGCATATGTGAGTCTGCAGTTCTCTTAACGGATTCCCTCTGGGAGAGAGGAAGCAGGGAGCAACATGGCAGGGAGCTGGCAGGAGCTGAGTCACCACACACGGGGCTATCAAGGTGCCGCTCGCCAAACAGGGTGCAGACGGCAGTGTGGAGGAAGGAGAGCAGCAGTACTCGTACTGAAACTGTGCCACTTCACAAGTTGAGTGTTTCTAGCAAGTTACGTGACATGCTCACTGTCCTAATCTTTTTAGACTTTGCACTAATGACATGGACATTATCATCATCCCAAGGTTAAGTAGTAGAGATTTTATCACAGGGCTATTTCACAGCATGATAAAAGATCTTTGCCTTGGGAGATTTTTGTTTCAGAGATGAATCATCCTCCAGTTCTGCAGCATATGTGTAGTATGAAAGGTCAAGACTGCACTTCACCACAGAGGGTGGTGGCTGTGATTCCAACCAATGTGTATTACATGTAACATTCATGCTGCCTCACGGTTCTGCCTCAGAATAGCCAGATATATGGAAACTTTCAACCAGCCATTTACATATATGTATGCAGGTACTCCATCTGCATTGACATGCAACTTTTTTCCATCTATTTCTATATCCAGTTGCAGGCTCTCTTTTTACATATAGGCTTTAAGCAAATTTCTAAATGTGTGGCTGACAAGGTTTTCGAAAAAGGCACTTAGTTACCCAAAACTCTTAACATATTTAATACTATAGATGTGGGATTTACAACTGAAAAGTCATACAAAACACTTAAAATTCTTCTAGCTGTATGAATACACTAACAGGCAACTTCAAAGGGACCATGGAACTATGACACAAGCAAAAGCTGTGCAGACTGTAGATAAATATATCTTATTTTTTAACTATTACTAGTAGGAGTAATGCTAGCTACCTTGAAAAGCTTTGTTCTTATGTTCTCATCTTGCTGTAAATATTTTCACCACCAGTTACCTATTTAGAGTAGACTGGGAGATTTTAGGCAACTGGAAAAGCTCAGTTCAGTGAAACTTCTTGCTCAAATTCATGTACAACCTCTTACAGAAGCCACTCCTTCACATTTGAGTAGAGCTTCTGCACAAAAAGCTCTGGAGTGTTTGATGGTTCTGTTTCAATGTAGAAAGGGAAAAAAATTAAACTGTAGAATTTTAAAGCAGCGTGGGAGACTGTTTCTCCATGAGGCTTAATCAGACTGCGCCTGCCTTCTAACTTAACTTTTATTAGTAGAACAGATATCTAGACTTCCCTCAGCTGAAAGGCTTGAAGAAGCAACATATATAAACAGCAGCCGACAAATACTCTTGGGACCAAACATAAGACAGAAAAATCTGGTTTAACAGCACCTTGGATTACCTTCATTAGAAACAGTTCATGTGTCTTCCTGTCTCTTGGCAGGATTCAGAGAAGTCCCAACATACAAGTTTTAATACACCTTTACTCTGACAGAGCACCAATGGGCAAGGAGAGTGACTCCCTCCTCCCCGCCAGAGTCACGGCAGTGCTCAGGTGCTCCGTAAAGGCACATCCTTAACACGTCCCCCCTTCCTGCATACACACACAAATGACTTGCATGCAAGATACCTGCACGCTTTGGTATGAAGTCAAACCTCTAGCTTTATACCTAAAGCCTATCCAAGAGATCTTTGCAGCTGTTAGAAAAGCCCCACCAGCCGCAGTGAGTGTACACTCAGCCTTAATTGGGCCCTGTCCAGATAAGGTCTGACAACATATAACGCCTCATGAACATTGCTTTTCACAAACTGCACCTTGCTCTTTACCCAAATCGAAGGCAACTCGGACTTCAGTGCACGTCTGATAAATCGTTCAACTTGCAGCCTGCCCCTAGGTCTCTCAGTAAGACCTCAGCCTCCTCTGCCTCACAGAAGGCGATGCTGCTGCCTCACTAGGCTGACATGGAGGTGGCCCCTCTTCCCACTAGTCAATGGGAGTTTTGCCCTTGTCTTTGAGCCTACCTTTAAAAAATCCACTGTGAATGCTCCCACTTACAGAAGTACTGTTGGCTTCACAAAGTCTAATTCCCCTGGGAGAAAAGCTGGAGCAACAGGTCATAGGTGTGCTGAAAAGTGGTGTAATATACAGGGAGAAGGAGAAAACCCTACCACACCATATACTATATAATGTCCCAGTCAAGAAGTGTCATCCTCCTCATGTCCATGTTTAAATAATTCATCTTTGTGGGATGAGAATAACTCAGACTAGTAACTCTAGAGAATCATTTTATTCAACAGAACTGAATCTAGTCCAGTTCTAGAGAATTTCTGCAGATTTCAGTTTCATGGAATTTAGTAGATGATGGATTTTTTTCAAAG